AACTCAGAGGCAGAGAGGCTGGGGGAAGTGTTCCCTCTAAGAGTTTCCTCCCATGAGCAGAATGAATTTTGTGTGTGCACCAGTACTGAGTTCATGTGGCTTGTTTGGATGTGCCACTGTTATTAATAAATATCTTATAAACCGCTACCTTTTCCTTCTGCTGTCAAATCTCCCCTTGATCCATCAGCTCCACTCATGCCTGCTGCCCCCCAACCCTTCATCCTCCTCTGCTCTCCTGACTCCTGCCCTTTTCACTGTCCTCAGCCTTCCTGAGACCTGCCCCGCTCCACCATTCCTTCTCTCTCCCTGTGCCCACTGCTCCTGTAGTCCCACTCTGATCATGTGAGCTACCCCTCCTCATCCCCTCTCCTAACACCTCTCTCTACACACCTGCCCTACCTCTCTCCTCTGGTGCTGGTCCCTCCCCTGCAGGTGTCTGCCCTTCTGCTTCACCCGCAGAATCTCCTGGCACCTGCAACTTCCCTCAGCCCTGCACCTTCCTGTTGCCTCTCCCTTCCCCTTTGCCCTCTTTTTCCCTGATGCCCATCCTCTTACCACCCTCTTCCCCCATTCTCCTCATGCCCCTGTGCCCTCACACGTCTTGCTCCATCCCTGCCTTCCTCATGCCCACCCCTTCTTTCAAGCCTTCTCCCAGCACCTCTCCCCTCTAGCCCCCAGTGCCCTTCCCCTCTCCTCTCTCAGCATCACCCTGTCCCCCCTCCCACTGACACCTCCCCTCCTGCCCTTTTTCTCATTGTCTCCACTTGGCCCCCTGGCATTTGTCTCTCCTCCACCCTGTTCCTTGGTTGTAGTGAAATTAAAAGTCCTGATTATTTTAGAATAGGAAGGAATGACAAAGCATGTGATCTAGTTATTTGCCACATGATATTTTGGAACAAACAGGAATGTTCAGTTCCACTGTGATCTGGAAAAGAACAAATAGTTTAAGATATGAAAGAAATAAGATTAGGCATATAAAACCAGGTAAACTAGCTGTTTCAAGTGATTTTACGCAAAGAAAAGCACACTAAAAAAAACAACAACAACAACAACAAAAAACCAAACCCTGCATTCATGTAGGAAACAGAAAGAGACTACAAGGCCAGACTGTATTAGGTAATTTCCAGTTTTATGAGATCACCGAAGGAAGTAGCATTTCTGCTCCACTTTGGGAAAAGACCACCTACATTAAGCAGCCAAAATACGTTGGCCAATTTGTATAAATTTAATTGAATTTGTCTCTATTGTATTTAAGGCCTCTCAACTGCCCCCAAACAACTCAAGTTATGTTCTCTGTGTCAAGTACAACTGAAAGGCATTTCACTCTCCTGGAGATTTTACCCATATCTTCATTCTAGGAATGCTACATGACCTTTCATACCTTCCTTTATGGCCACCAGTTCAACAGCTTACATCCAATAGGAAAGAAAAAAATGTAACCACCACCCTTTGAGGTTTGAGAAAATGCTGCTCCCTAAATGACATCATTTGGTATTAAAAAGCCACACTTTCTGTAATGCCAAACAAATCTCCCTGATGTACCCAATCAGTGGCAGCCATGCAGTGTTTCTTCACCTGGGACTACTGGCAGCTCAGCACAGTAATTCTAGAGGGAATAATTTCAGTAACTTCAATATATAGTAGCATTATATTTTTGCACAGAAGCTCCAAAAAAATGGATTTCCAAATGGCAGGTCAGATCAAGCAATTAATAACACATAGAGAAAGATGAGCTAGCAGGTCAGCATCCACTCCTAATTCTGTATAATGCCAAACCTCTCCATATCACAAAGAGGATACTATGTTTTCTTATATAGGCCATGCCCAATTAGTCAAATCTCTTGTAAGATAGCAGTAACATTCCATACCACAAAGAGGATACTATGTTTTCCTATATAGGCCATGCCCAATTATTCAAATCTCTTGTAAGATAGCAGTAACATCAGAAATCTGAAGGCAAAGAAATATGTTTTTATCCACATCTAGTCTGTAGCAGTCTATACCGCTATACAGACACTGTGGCTTACCTATAGTTACTTTAGCAGGATATAAACACTTTTCCATTTACCTGCAAGCCTCTGCACATTCCTGAAACCTAGAGTTATTGTACTCTTGTTTTTCCAGCTCATCCTTAAATGACAGTTTTCGCATTCAGTATAATACAATATACATTCAAGTGTACAAGGATATAGGATATCCTCATAAGACTTGTATAGGTATTCTTTGGAAACCAATTCCATAAAAAAATCCATGAGCTGCAAAAGGAGTGCTGATCTAGAAACTTTTCTAACTCCCTGAAATTTTCAGTAAACTAACATCTGCAATTGAAATATAAATAAAACCCTGAAAATCATAATTTACCAGGTGATTTACAAGGATATTACATACAGCGGTTATTTAAGCAACAGCTTTGTGGCAACATAATGTGATTTCAGTAAAGAAATTTACGAAATTGCTTTGTGGTTCTTGTCTTGTCATACTATGAAGATTAAACGTAATATTACTGATTAACTTAGTTAGCTACCTGAATCAAATAATGCCATGCTGAGAGTGCGAAGTGAGACTAAGTGAAAACTGACATTTGATCATCCTCAATCAGTAAAGGAATTGAATAAAATGTCAATACAATTATAATTGTTGAGTAAAACCAGGCTCCCTGAAAGGGCAAGAGGAGAAGGGGGAAATTGCCCTGGGGCCCAGCAATTCAAAGAGGCCCGAGGCTCCTGGCTGCCACCGTTCCTAATGTGCCACTGGGCAGAGCCTCAGGTCCTTTAAATCGCCACAGAGCAGTCCAGGCAGCTCTTAGGGGTGAGGGTGGAAAGGAGAAAGTATGCTGCCATGTAGGCGGTTCTGAGGGATGGCTGCCCTCAGTCCTGCCCCTTCTGCAGGTGTGGAGCCACTTCCCCCAAAACTGTGAGAACTCCATTATATAAACAGTATTTTAAAAGAAAAGTTCATAAACATAAGCCTAAGTAATTCACAGAAAATAATAGATGCTGTGTCTCAAAGTGACAGAAATTGAGAGAACTGTTTGTAGGCAACCATCCTCAATTCAGATACTCCCATTAATTTTAGGTCTTGCTCTGTTTATATATAAACATATATTTTATAAGGAGCTTTCTTTAAAAAAATAATACAGTGTTGTTCAATATTTTGCCTTCAGTATTCTTTTGGGGCCTTTTCCTGCTCGCTCTCTCTCTCTCAGTAAAACTTGGTTCCAAGTCAATATAAATTCTGCTTCAGCTAGAAGCGCAAGATAGCATCGTCTTGGTGCTTGTCTGCACAGTGGGCTAAAGCAAGCACTACTGGGTGTGATTTCTAAACAACGCTGAAGTGTTGCACATTAGTTCATCTATGTAAACCTTACTGGTGCACAATAAAAGTTCCCTAGTACACCTTAACAAAGTACTACATTAAAGGGCATTAGGGAACTTGTGCGCATCTGTAGAATCTGTGGACCAATTAACGTGCAACACATTAGTGCACTTTGCTGATTCATGTACACACGCCCTTCAGACTAGTAGTGACCACAAAACCAGAATTTAAAATGGAAACAAGTTAAAACCTTCCTGCTTTTGGTGTTTACCGAACTTTCCTTAAAGGAACTTCCAAGACGACCTAAAATTTCAATGGCAAAGGGGTGGCATTCTAGCAAAGGAAATTACTTTGGAGCTAACTGTAGCTGGTAGCTAGTAGGGATGTCAAATACTGTGTAACCCAGTGTTTCTTAAACTATGTTCCGTGACCAACTCGCAGATGTGCTGCAACCTCTTCTTTGTTTTTGTCTTTTTTGGTCTGACAATTTTTTTTTAAGAAAATTTTCATAGGTGTTCCACATAAAAAAAAATATTGTTTGGTGTTCCATGGTCTCAAAAAGTTTAAGAAACACTGGTGTAACCACCTTAAATCTTAGTGATTACACAATTATTCAATAGTCCCTGGGGGTAAGGCCAGCAGCCAGTCCCACTCCTAGAGAGCCCCTGTCACTCCACACTGCTGCCCCTCTATCAGCAGGTGGGAGCTAGTTTGTGAGGGGAGCCAGTTTAAAAACTAGCTTCCTGTGCAGACCAGCTGCCTGACACTGCTTTGATACAGGGTGGCAGTAGCCCCTGTCTGTGGGGGGGCGGGGTCCGAGTTTCCTGTGGACAGAGGCTGGTCCAGCAGCAGCCCTTGTCCACTGGGGTGGCGGGGGGTCTGAGCTTCCCCACAGACAGGGGCTGCTACTTAGGGTTGCCAGATGGTTTCAACAACAATACCAGACACACTTGACATTACATCACAATCTACATTACATCTTATTTAGAAAATACCGGACATTTATATTTTCTCAATTTGTTTCCCGAACAGAAAGCTCAAATACTGGACTGTCCAGTTCAAAACCGGACACCTGGCAACCCTACTGCTACTGCAGGCCAGCCTCTGTCCATAGGGAGCTCGGACCTCCCACGGACAGGGGCTGCTGTTGCGGACCAGCTTCTGTCTATATAGGCCCACGCTCAGCAGCAGCACTGGGGTGAGGAAGGACAGGTGTATTTGGTGCTCGGGGGGAGCCTGCTTCTAGCCAGTTCCTCATGGCACTGGTTTCCACACCTCAGGTCCTTGCTGCCTCTGATATAGCGGGGGGGAAGAGTGCATATAGTTGACAAAATTAACCGGTAAGCCCAACTGAGCAGTTAATCATGTAGTTGACTGCACGTTGACATCCCTAATTGCTAGGGGTGGCCTTATCAATGTTATTGTTTTTATAGAAAGCCTCAGAAAGCGGGCTCATTTTCCCATTGAAAATATACATTTTATCTTGGAAACTAGCAGAATAAGCAGGGGGAAAGCTGCCTATTATATAATATATTTATATTTTAGGCTGATCTTAAAATTATCAGCATTCTTATGGTGGAACCTGCTTATGTAAATCCTTAAAAGTATGCTCCTGTTTGGGAAACAGAGCAATTACATCTTGAAGGAAATATAGATCTAGTTTTAATTCTTTTAGTTGCATTTACCTTGTACTGAGACTTGCAGTTTTTGTTCCAGTAGGTGATTCCAACCCTTCTCCAGGCTTTGAGGATTTTTCTCTGTTCATTTGTTGTAGTATTGAGTTCAATTCACTAATAACATTAGCCTTTGGGCCTGAGAGAATTGGGCTTTTTACCTCAGTTACATCACCCCATAGTTTGGAGGTCCTTTGCTGTACAACTTTAGCCGTATTAGGCTGTGCACTGATCGGAGGTGGGGGTGGAGCAGGTGGAGGGATAAGAAAGCTATCTACAGTTTCTTCAATTAGAGCATCTTTATAAAGTGCATTGCTTTTGTTGATTATGGGCTTCATTTTTGGCTTTGGAGGTACTGGGGGTTTGTCCACCAGAAATGTTTGCCCATCTGCATAGACTGTACAAGTATCCAAATTCTCACCACCTTCAGAGGATAAGGTAGAGATGCTGGACACTGTTGAGATAGTGCTGGTTGTCTCTAAGTGATGGTCACTGCTAGATCGACTGTCTACCTCCTCAATCCCAGAGTCAGTGACATGATCAAAGCTTTCAGGGGGTGGCAAAAATGAGGCAGGCAAACAGTTTGAAAGACCCACTTGTTTTTTACTGTCTAAAGAATTTGTTGATTGGTTAGAATTAAATGAAGCAGATGTAGGTGTTCCATTTTTTCTTTGCTTAAGTAAGTCCGTTAGAGCAGAACCCGGAGCAGAACGGTCATCGGGGATATCAAAACTGTTAGCAAATTCTAAGGGAGGAGGTAATGGCTCAGTAAAAATAAATTCTTCATCAATATCAACAGATGCTAGAGGGGGTGGAGGGATGCGAAATGGCAATATGACAGGGTCATCAACAGAGCTAGCTGCTACAATAGTTTTGCAGGGAGATGCAGGTGGCTCAGGTGTAGCAGATACATTCAACCCACTTTCTGCTTCTTCACTATCTTCTGGCATCTCCGATGGAGAATTGTCTGGGATCATTTCCATTTCAACTCTCTTCTCATCATCTTCAAGGGTGTCTTCAGACTTTCCTGCATCCACAGTATGAACCATTAGCAAGCCAGCTGACTTTTGCTGTGAAGTATCCACAATATTTATTAGCATGTTTTTCTTTTCTTCATGCTTCTTCTCTTTCCCCATATCTGTTTCATATTTGTTTTCAGTCTCCTGCCTTCTCAGTGGGCCACGTGTATTTTGCCTGGTAACAGCCGTCACAGGAAATGTAGTTTCGATATTAGATCTTAGCTTTGTATCGATGTAAAGTGGTTTATTAAGGTCTGCTTTACCAATTTCTCCTTTGCCTGGGATCTGTTGCGTTTGTTCTTTCATGGCTCTATCTCTTGCAGAAAGTGCAAGTGCTAGAGGTGAGTTTGGATCTAATATCTTTCCTGTGAGCGGGTGAACATAATTATCTGGACTGGACACAATGGTCTGAGTTGCCACCATATTGTTTTCAGTAACTTTTTTTGTGGATGAAGAGTTTAATGTCCTTGCATCACTTTCACTGCTTGGTTCACTATTATTAAAAAGATTTTCAGATTCTCTAGGTGCCGGAATTGGAGAGGGTGACATAAGTTGCCTAAAACTATCTTCATTACTAAACATGCCCTCATCAGTAAATTTAGACTGCCTCAAACGTGGTGTTGGGGGCATCAGCCCAACATCCTCATCTCCCAAGTCTGTAGAAAGGAAAGCTGGAGAATTGCGCCTGGCTTCTAATCTCTTTTCCCTGTCCCTCACTGCTCCAGCAATGGCTGCTGCAAATGGACTGCTGACATTTAAATTATCATCAGGTCTGAGTTGTCCAGGCTGCTCTGAAGACTGAGGGTCAATCTCCATACTGCTTCCTTGGCTGCTTTTTCCACTACTGCTGGTAGATGGTTCTTTCACAATAATTGTTGGAATTGGAATAGAACAGATCTTTTCTGGACTATCCTCAACATTAGATTGTTTCACTAACATTCCCTTCCGCCTTGCTGGTTTGGCAGGCACATAAACTGCTTTGCTTGCTATCTTCCCAACTTCAGAATATGGGTTTTCTGGCATATGGCCCCTCTTGTTTCTGAAGTTTCCCTGCAATGCTGCATTCCTACTATACAAATCCTCAGAATCTAGAGAATAACGATCCAGTTCCCTTCTGTAATACATCCCTTTGTCCCTCATTATTGTTCCCATATTTTCAGATCTACCTGAAGAAAGCTTTGAACCTGAATTCTGATTAAATGCAGGTTTAATCGTTCCATAGCTTCTTGATGTTGGAGATTTGGGAGAGTTATAAAGGGAGGGAGAAGGTGGAGGTGGTGATGGGGGTAGAGACTGTGGTGGAGGAGGAATATCTTCAGAAGTGTCTGGCATGGATAGACTTCTGGTAAATTTCAACATAGGAGGAGCCAAAAATTGACGTTCTTCCTCTGTTATTCCTAACAAAAGAGAAAGAATAAAGGGAAAACTTTAAAAAAATTGCTCTTTACTTTAATCCAATGTTATTTCCACTAAAGATATGACCCGAATGGAATGTCTACCCAGCCTGCAGGAGTGAGCCTCCCAGTCCAGGACAACAGATTTGGACTAGCAGGGATTATTGCCAGTGCTTAAAATTAGCCGTGTATACAGCTCTTGGAAATTGTGGCTGGGACTGGAGCTCAGGCTCTGAGGCTAGATCTATACTAGGGGATAAATTCAAGTTAGGTTTATTGCATAGCTGGAGTCAACGTATCTTAATTCAAACTTTGGCACAGTGGAAGGTCAAAGGGAGAAATGCTCCCGTTGACTTCCCTTCTCACGAGGAGGAGTAGGAGTACTGGCATTGATGGGGACACTCTTGGCATTCGATTTAGCAGGTCTTTACTAGACCCACTAAATTGAATGCCATAAGATTGACCTGTGGGTAAGTATAAACATGGCCAGAGGTCCATGCCTCCCCAGACTTCAGGGTCAGAGCAGCAACATCAAAATACTGTTTAGATCCCTATTTTTAGAGTACTGGGGTGAGCCCTAATAGCCCAAGTTTATTAACCTCAGCTGGGAGGCTTGCTTCTGTGGGCTATTTAGACATATCCCAAAAAGCTACAGCAATTTTGCCTAGCATGAAGCATATCTGAAATAATAAAGCATGGCTGGCTTGTTGATTCTTGCTCATGAAAAATTCTCTAAATGTTGTCAAGTATCAGAGGGTAGCCTTCGAAGTGGGTCTTTGCCCATGAAAGCTTATGCTCCAATAAATCTGTTAGTCTATAAGGTGCCACAGGACTCCTCGTCTCTAAATGTTCATTTTCCATAAAATCACATAGTAATATTAAACAGGAGTGACACAGCAACAAAACTAAACTGATCATAGGCAAATGTTTTTGCTTTATGTACCCTCAGGGACAATATATTTCTCTTCAAAAGAATGTGAAAGTATGAAAAAAGACAAACTATTCAAATGAACATTAAAGATTCTGTGTGAATGAGAGATAATTGCATAGAAGGGAATTTTCTCTGAAATATAGCAAGGAGGGAAGGAATTCTTATACAGAGAAACCATGCATATCTGCTTAAGCAATCTAAAACACACAAATTAATGGTATGCTTACACAGCAAGTACAATAGTAAAGCATTTCTGGGAATTTTGCCTGTATTGTTTTAGTAAAAGGATTATATAGAATGATATTACATACAAACTTAAAATGTTTGTTTTTATAACATTTTTCAAATGCAATTAAGTGACTTAGCAGTTTTCAAAAGAGTTTTAGGCACTTAGGACCTCTTAAGTCCCTTAGATGTTTTAGAGAATGTTACCCTCTATCTCAGAGGTTCTCAACCTATTACCATTGTCGGTTGCATATGCACCTCTTTGTTATGTACATACTACCTATATGGCCTTAAGGGTGTCATATGAGTGACAATTGTGCAGTTACTAAATCGCAAATGGTCCACAGGTTCAGAATCATTGCTCTATGTAATAAAAGTATTTTCTGAATTTGCTCAAAATGATAGGTATGCCATAAAACAACATTTGAAAATATTGTGGGTATTTTGTCGAATAGCTTTAACACAAGCACACTACTTATAATTAGTTCAGAAATACATTGAGTACAGTGGATCAGTTCTAACAGAAAATATACCAAACATAAAAAGTTTTTTTTCCTTAGGGCATGCCTACACAGCAGGGCAAAGAAAAGTTTTTTTCCTTAGGGCATGTCTACACAGCAGGGCAAAAGTCAAATTAAGCTACGCAACTTGAGCTACTTCAATTGAATTGCTTAAGTCAAAATAGCTTATTTTGGCTTTGGCGCTGTCTACACTGCAGGAATTCGAAGAAAGAACACACTTCCTTTGACTTCTCTTACTCCTTGTGAAATGAGGGTTACAGGAGACAGAGTAAGAAGTCCTCCAGCTCGCCATTATTTCGAAATAATGACTTGCAGTGTAGACGTGCTCTTTGTTATTTCAGAATAACACTAGTTATTCTGAAATAACACTGCTGTGTAGATGTACCCTCAGTGGAGAAAAAGGATAGTTTTGAATAAAAAGTGAGCTTATTTTTATCCATTTGGCCAGTTGAGTGCATACTACAGCTTGCATAGTATTATGGCATTTTCATGTCAATAAAAACATCTAAACAACTCTTAGCTATAATGATTTACCAGAACAGCTCTTCCTCATTAGTTTTCTTTTCACTTTCAAACTTAAAGGACACTTTCCAAATTCATTATTACTCCATATCACTTGCCTAAAGTGAACAAAGCAAAACATGGAATTTGTACTAGTTTTCATGCAAACTGATTTGGTTCTTGAGATTTGGATCAGAACTAATTACTGACTCAAGTTGAAGAAAAATGAAATCAGCATGTTTTAAGCACGAACACAAGTTAATAAAAAGTGCCAAATTAATGCACATGTAGAATTTACATGAGAAAATTTTACCTATAGATTTTTGTCTTCTCATTGTACCCCGAGGTATACCTAGAAAAGGACCTTGAGGAGTCCCAGGTACAGTAGGTGGCATCACAGCAATACCCTGTCTATCATACATAGACTACAAAACAAAACAAAAATATTATGTACAAAAGAGTAAATTTGAAGGGATCACATGCAATCACATTTCTGTTTATTCCCCTCCCAAAGACATTGCCACAAACCGTACTGCTGTTCAAGTCACCCTGTACCTGTGTCGGGGTTCCAATATTTTGCCATGGAAGAGAGACCTTCGGTTTTCTAGATGTAGTGTGTTAATACTCTGAGTTCTAAATCTGCTCATATTACTCACATGAGTAGCCTCACTGATGCCAAATGGAATTATTTCTGAGTCAGAATTCGGTCTTACACTTATATTTTGATTTTATGAAGTTTAAGAGTTTAGACTGGGAAATTACGGTTTGATAGCATGGCTTACAATGATCACCAGGAACGACTGAATGGAATAGGATCTCAGCACTTCAGAAATACTTTGTTTTTTCTGAAAATATAACACAGATGTCTTCTTCAAGGGGTCTCATCATTGAATCACAAATATTTCAAGATCAAATAGGCAGAATTCGTTTCCTATCTAGGCTTTATTTTGGACCTGGATGCCTATTGGGTATTCATTATAGGCTGAGATGAGAGTTCTGCCAATGTGGCTACTTGTTTCTGGTTGCTTATAACTGCCAACTTTAACCATTTGGGATGAAGCTGTCTGATTTGGTCTAAAAATTATTTTAAGAAAGTTTCAGCTACTATGGTTCAGTTATTTTCAAGAACAATATTAGGGGAAAATACATTGTTTTGCCCATGTTTTAAAAAATTTACAACTATATACATAGGAAGGCTCCAGGGTCTCCATAGTCTCTGAAAATCCACACAAATTTGGCCAAGTTCTCCAAAAACTGTAGTTTGCAGATGCTCATTAGACATTTGTTAGAGCTTGTTATAGAGATGGGAATGACTAGTTAACTATCTGATAAGCAAGCTAGTTGCCCCTCCCCCCCCTTGCTGTCTCTATCAGAAAGAGGCAGCAAGGGAGGGGATGACGCGGGGGTACTTCAAAGCAGCGATGCTGTGTGGTGTCTGGGGCCAGACCACGGGCTCCACATAGTGCTGCTGCTTTGATACAACGCATGCAACCCGGGACCAGCTGGGAGTCCCCAGGCTGCACACGGCATTTCAAAGCTGCAGTGCTGCATGGAGCCCCGGGTCTGGCCCCAGGCTTCAAGCGATGCTGCTACTTTGAAGTACCCCGTCCTCTTCCCCCCTTGCTGCCACTTTCTGATAGAGGCAGCAAGGGGTGTGTGTGCAACTAGTCAACTATCCTGTCGACTATCTGATAAGCATTTGTTTATGGGATAGTCGACTAGTCCTTCACATCTGTACATACAAGTTCTCTCTGTCCTCTCAGGGCCCAAGGCATTTAGGGCAGCCAGAGGAAAATGCTGCTAGTGTCTGTATGGAAACCACTGGGCACAGCATGCTCCCATCCTGTGCACGATGCGCTGCTCTGGGATGGGCACAGAACGGGCACTGTCCTGTTCTGTGAATCCAGTCTGCATAGAAGTAGCCCAGTGGGAAGAGTGCCCACAGAGTGGGATCTGGCATTCAGAGCTTCAGAACAGGAATATCAGCCCTAAACCAGGATGGTATCCCCAAGGTGGGCAGAGAAAGCAGCCCATCTTCCAAGTGTGTGGGGGAGGGGGCACTCAGACATCAGCGAGGCAGCTTGCGAGCTGGGACAGCATGCCCTGATTTGACAGAGCAGCCTTTTCTGGGGAGAAGAGTGCGGAACAGATCCCTGGGGCAGATCTCCTTGCCCCAGTCTTGCTGGGAGCCCTGTGATTTCCAGAGAGCCAGTAGGTGTTTGCCCTGGTTACTGAGAATTCTGGGTCAATAACAAGGCCTGCAGTAGGAGGGAAATCACGGTCTACACAGCAGGGCAAAAGTCAAATTAAGCTATACAACTTGAGCTACTTCAATTGAATTGCTTAAGTCAAAATAGCTTATTTTGGCTTTGGCGCTGTCTACACTGCAGGAATTCGAAGAAAGAACACACTTCCTTTGACTTCTCATACTCCTTGTGAAATGAGGGTTACAGGAGACAGAGTAAGAAGTCCTCCAGCTCGCCATTATTTCGAAATAATGACTTGCAGTGTAGACGTGCTCTTTGTTATTTCAGAATAACACTAGTTATTCTGAAATAACGCTGCTGTGTAGATGTACCCTCAGTGGAGAAAAAGGATAGTTTTGAATAAAAAGTGAGCTTATTTTTATCCATTTGGCCAGTTGAGTGCATACTACAGCTTGCATAGTATATGATGGCATTTTCATGTCAATAAAAACATCTAAACAACTCTTAGCTATAATGATTTACCAGAACAGCTCTTCCTCATTAGTTTTCTTTTCACTTTCAAACTTAAAGGACACTTTCCAAATTCATTATTACTCCATATCACTTGCCTAAAGTGAACAAAGCAAAACATGGAATTTGTACTAGTTTTCATGCAAACTGATTTGGTTCTTGAGATTTGGATCAGAACTAATTACTGACTCAAGTTGAAGAAAAATGAAATCAGCATGTTTTAAGCACGAACACAAGTTAATAAAAAGTGCCAAATTAATGCACATGTAGAGTTTACATGAGAAAATTTTACCTATAGATTTTTGTCTTCTCATTGTACCCCGAGGTATACCTAGAAAAGGACCTTGAGGAGTCCCAGGTACAGTAGGTGGCATCACAGCAATACCCTGTCTATCATACATAGACTACAAAACAAAACAAAAATATTATGTACAAAAGAGTAAATTTGAAGGGATCACATGCAATCACATTTCTGTTTATTCCCCTCCCAAAGACATTGCCACAAACCGTACTGCTGTTCAAGTCACCCTGTACCTGCGTCGGTGTTCCAATATTTTGCCATGGGAGAGAGACCTTCGGTTTTCTAGATGTAGTGTGTTAATACTCTGAGTTCTAAATCTGCTCATATTACTCACATGAGTAGCCTCACTGATGCCAAATGGAATTATTTCGGAGTCAGAATTTGGTCTTACACTTATATTTTGATTTTATGAAGTTTAAGAGTTTAGACTGGGAAATTACGTTTTGATAGCATGGCTTACAATGATCACCAGGAACGACTGAATGGAATAGGATCTCAGCACTTCAGAAATACTTTGTTTTTTCTGAAAATATAACACAGATGTCTTCTTCAAGGGGGTCTCATCATTGAATCACAAATATTTCAAGATCAAATAGGCAGAATTCGTTTCCTATCTAGGCTTTATTTTGGACCTGGATGCCTTTTGATAGCATGGCTTACAATGATCACCAGGAACGACTGAATGGAATAGGATCTCAGCACTTCAGAAATACTTTGTTTTTTCTGAAAATATAACACAGATGTCTTCTTCAAGGGGGTCTCATCATTGAATCACAAATATTTCAAGATCAAATAGGCAGAATTCGTTTCCTATCTAGGCTTTATTTTGGACCTGGATGCCTATTGGGTATTCATTATAGGCTGAGATGAGAGTTCTGCCAATGTGGCTACTTGTTTCTGGTTGCTTATAACTGCCAACTTTAACCATTTGGGATGAAGCTGTCTGATTTGGTCTAAAAATTATTTTAAGAAAGTTTCAGCTACTATGGTTCAGTTATTTTCAAGAACAATATTAGGGGAAAATACATTGTTTTGCCCATGTTTTAAAAAATTTACAACTATATACATAGGAAGGCTCCAGGGTCTCCATAGTCTCTGAAAATCCACACACATTTGGCCAGGTTCTCCAAAAACGGTAGTTTGCAGATGCTCATTAGACACTTGTTAGAGCTTGTTATAGAGATAGGAATGACTAGTTACCTATCTGATAAGCAAGCTAGTTGCCCCTTCCCCCCTCCCCCCGTTGCTGTCTCTATCAGAAAGAGGCAGCAAGGGAGGGGATGACGCGGGGGTACTTCAAAGCAGCGATGCTGTGTGGTGTCTGGGGCCAGACCACGGGCTCCACATAGTGCTGCTGCTTTGATACAACGCATGCAACCCGGGACCAGCTGGGAGTCCCCAGGCTGCACACGGCATTTCAAAGCTGCAGTGCTGCATGGAGCCCCGGGTCTGGCCCCAGGCTTCAAGCGATGCAGGCACTGGCACTTTGAAATACTGTAAGGAGCCTGACGCTGGGCTCCCCACAGCATTTCATTTAAAAAATGTACAACTATATACATAGGAAGGCTCCAGGGTCTCCATAGTCTCTGAAAATCCACACACATTTGGCCAGGTTCTCCAAAAACGGTAGTTTGCAGATGCTCATTAGACACTTGTTAGAGCTTGTTATAGAGATAGGAATGACTAGTTACCTATCTGATAAGCAAGCTAGTTGCCCCTTCCCCCCTCCCCCCGTTGCTGTCTCTATCAGAAAGAGGCAGCAAGGGAGGGGATGACGCGGGGGTACTTCAAAGCAGCGATGCTGTGTGGTGTCTGGGGCCAGACCACGGGCTCCACATAGTGCTGCTGCTTTGATACAACGCATGCAACCCGGGACCAGCTGGGAGTCCCCAGGCTGCACACGGCATTTCAAAGCTGCAGTGCTGCATGGAGCCCCGGGTCTGGCCCCAGGCTTCAAGCGATGCTGCTACTTTGAAGTACCCCGTCCTCTTCCCCCCTTGCTGCCACTTTCTGATAGAGGCAGCAAGGGGTGTGTGTGCAACTAGTCAACTATCCTGTCGACTATCTGATAAGCATTTGTTTATGGGATAGTCGACTAGTCCTTCACATCTGTACATACAAGTTCTCTCTGTCCTCTCAGGGCCCAAGGCATTTAGGGCAGCCAGAGGAAAATGCTGCTAGTGTCTGTATGGAAACCACTGGGCACAGCATGCTCCCATCCTGTGCACGATGCGCTGCTCTGGGATGGGCACAGAACGGGCACTGTCCTGTTCTGTGAATCCAGTCTGCATAGAAGTAGCCCAGTGGGAAGAGTGCCCACAGAGTGGGATCTGGCATTCAGAGCTTCAGAACAGGAATATCAGCCCTAAACCAGGATGGTATCCCCAAGGTGGGCAGAGAAAGCAGCCCATCTTCCAAGTGTGTGGGGGAGGGGGCACTCAGACATCAGCGAGGCAGCTTGCGAGCTGGGACAGCATGCCCTGATTTGACAGAGCAGCCTTTTCTGGGGAGAAGAGTGCGGAACAGATCCCTGGGGCAGATCTCCTTGCCCCAGTCTTGCTGGGAGCCCTGTGATTTCCAGAGAGCCAGTAGGTGTTTGCCCTGGTTACTGAGAATTCTGGGTCAATAACAAGGCCTGCAGTAGGAGGGAAATCACGACAGGAACAGGATGGGTTGGGCAAGTACAGCAGAGCAGAAAGGGCCAGAAAAAGAGAGTAGGATTTTTAGCTATAATTATACAATAAATTGACAATTAAAATGGAGCAGGAAGTGGGACAGTTAAAAGTAAAAATACATCAGGTGGGTATTATCAAACTGATGAAGCTGAGCCTGAAAGCTGAACATAGCTTATTTTCTATTCAATATGAAATATATGCAGGACAGGAGAAATTACTCCCTTGTAAAACAGATGATGGGCACAGCTCAGAATGTGGAATAATCACTAGTCTTCCGCACTGGTATTTAGCCCACTCCTAAAGCCACCCCTGATCTTCAAAAGGTAAAGCTCCTTATTCTTCCCTACGCTTTCAGTGGGCCGGGGTTCTTGGCACTTGGTATATTCACCTTGTGGCCAGATGCAAAATTAATAGAACTATAGTTTTGCAAAATTGTAATGACAGGGAATCTAGGGCCAGACAGACTGTAAAGATACACTACATTTTATTCCTGGCAGGAGAGGTGCACATTGAAGAGGGTCTCAAGTCCCAGCTGACTCCTGTCTCCAGGGCTATGTCTACACTGCGCTAGTTTTGCGCAAGAAATATGCAAATGAGGCTAAGTGTGGAATATCGCTGAGCCCCATTTGCATAATTAATGAGCGGCTGCTTTTTGCGCAAGAGGCTTTTGTGCAAAAAGGAGCCATCTACATGGCTCCTTCTTGCGCAAAAACCCCCTCTTGTGAAAGAGCCGTTCTTCCGCATTTTTTTCAGGAGACTCGGCAATATTCCACGCTTAGCCTCATTCGCATATTTCTTGCGCAAAACCAGCTCAGTATAGACATAGCCCAAGTGAAGGGAAGGCCCGTCCCAGGAGCAGCCAGGCAACCACCACTGGCTCTCTCAGGGCTTGAGCTGCCATCAGCTGAAGGTAGAGAAGTGGGGTGGGTCCAGCCAGCCCTTCCCGGCACAGTGGAGCCTTAGGACTCAGTCTCTTTATGGAGCAGAGTTCACCAGATGAACCACCCTACTTAAGACACACAAGTTGGCACCTTCCTCTCTGCTGTAGAGAACAACTGCAGTGTTGCTTCCGCTTTATGTGCTTTAACTTGACTCCTGTAAGGTGGTTCTGGAGAGATTTTGAGGATCATTTGTGGATCCCCAAGCCTTTGAGGAGAAAGGAATAAGGGGCTGTATGATTTTTAGGGATCAGGAGCTGGGCTATGTTAGCATGGTAGTTGAGTGCCTTTCCAAAAAAATTTTGGTCAGCAACTCACTAGAAGACATTGCTGCTTATCCTCACTTTGCATCCCCTGATCTGTCTAACAATGTACAAATTGTCCTTCAAGTGTCTCAAAGATTTGTGGATTGTACCCTCATAACGCTATTTTGAGGTGTGGAAAAACTTTTATTCTGGTTTTATAGATGCAGAACATTGGAAGGGGGATATGAGGGCTCACACTGTCAAAAATATTTCAGCACCTAACTCCTTGAGGATCTAAGCCTAAGTGTCTGGCGTATGTGCCTCATCCTTCCTACTTATAGTCAACACAAGTCTATTTATTTTCTACAATAATGCTGATATAATTCAGAACACTCTGGGATTTCTTCCTCTGCAACTGAGAAGTGAAGTGTACGAAAAAGGATCAGTGCTTTTTCAGTAGGAAATAAATACAGCTAGACCTTAAGGAAAACATTTATTTTTTTCCGTCATATTAGATCGTACATTCAGTGGAAGCAAACTCAAATCTGAGGGTGTCACATTTGGAACTAGAAGTGTAATTCCCAGATATAGGGGATATACCATGCTGGCTTTGATCAACCTAGTGCACTAAAAATTAAATTTGGCCAAGTTCTCCAAAAACTGTAGTTTGCAGATGCTCATTAGACATTTGTTAGAGCTTGTTATAGAGATGGGAATGACTAGTTAACTATCTGATAAGCAAAGCTTGTTAGTTATAGTTTTCCATATTTCGTGTGCGTTGCATTGCTCCAGTCCAGGGGCGGGTGAGAGTGCCGCGGGGCCCTGGGCAGCCGCCCCGCTCGCCCTGCCCCAAATCCGCCGTTGCTAAGTAGGACTTTCCTTGCAATTGCTTCTTCCTGCTGCTCAAGGCCTATTATGGCATCTGATATGGAACCTGAGAGCAGGAATACTGTTTTTCAGTGTTAATGCTCCCCCTGCTGGCACCCAGGCAGTGTTGAGAAGGAGGAAATGGTGTTACAGGAGCCATAATGAGGAGAGGAGCTAAGGGACTTCAGAGGCGGAACAGGGACAGGAACAGGATGGGTTGGGCAAGTACAGCAGAGCAGAAAGGGCCAGAAAAAGAGAGTAGGATTTTTAGCTATAATTATACAATAAATTGACAATTAAAATGGAGCAGGAAGTGGGACAGTTAAAAGTAAAAATACATCAGGTGGGTATTATCAAACTGATGAAGCTGAGCCTGAAAGCCGAACATAGCTTATTTTCTATTCAATATGAAATATATGCAGGACAGGAGAAATTACTCCCTTGTAAAACAGATGATGGGCACAGCTCAGAATGTGGAATAATCACTAGTCTTCCGCACTGGTATTTAGCCCACTCCTAAAGCCACCCCTGATCTTCAAGAGATAAAGCTCCTTATTCTTCCCTACGCTTTCAGTGGGCCGGGGTTCTTGGCACTTGGTATATTCACCTTGTGGCCAGATGCAAAATTAATAGAACTATAGTTTTGCAAAATTGTAATGACAGGGAATCTAGGGCCAGACAGACTGTAAAGATACACTACATTTTATTCCTGGCAGGAGAGGTGCACATTGAAGAGGGTCTCAAGTCCCAGCTGACTCCTGTCTCCAGGGCTATGTCTACACTGCGCTAGTTTTGCGCAAGAAATATGCAAATGAGGCTAAGTGTGGAATATTGATGAGCCCCCATTTGCATAATTAATGAGCGGTTGCTTTTTGCGCAAGAGGCTTTTGTGCAAAAAGGAGCCATCTACATGGCTCCTTCTTGCGCAAAAACCCCTCTTGTGAAAGAGCCGTTCTTCCGCATTTTTTCAGGAGACTCGGCAATATTCCACGCTTAGCCTCATTCGCATATTTCTTGCGCAAAACTAGCTGCCCCAAGTATTTTTAGGGCATTAACTCAATCAGAGTTAGCATCAGTGTTCCCTCTAAGATTTTTCCATCCATGAGCAGAGTGAGTTTTGTCTTGTGCACAAACCTCTCCCTTTTCCCCTCTGCTATCAATGTCTCATTTCCCCCCCTACCCCTCTTCTTCCTGGGTGACTGCTGCTGCCTCCACTCCTCACCTTCTGCTGCTGCCCTGACTCCTGCCCTTCTCACTCCCCTCAGCCCTCCTGGGACCGGTCCTGCTCCCCACCCTCTCTTACCCCTACACTGTCCCTTCCCTCATCCTCCTCTAGCTTCCCTCCCCATTCCCTCTCCTAACACCTCTCCTACCCACCTGCCTTGCCTCCCTCCTCTGGTTCCTGTCTCTTCCATCCCCTCCTCTCCCTCTGTTTCACCCCCACAACCTCCTGGCACCTGCACCTTCCCTTACCCCCTGCACCCTCCTGGTGCCTCGTCCTTCCCTCACTGTCCCTGCCTTCCCAACACCTGCCCCCCTTGCCCTTTTCCTTTCTGGTGCCACCCCATCACCACCCTCTGTCTCAGTTCTCCTCATGCCCCTTTGCACCCTCACATGTGACTTGCTTCATTCCCCGCCTTCCTCATGCCCACCCTTCCTTTCCGCTCCTCCCTCATCTGTCAGCACTCACTCCTCCCCCCTCCACTTCCTTCCTCTTGCCCCCATTGCCCTTCCCCTTTCCTTTCATCATGCTATCCTCTCCCCAATTCCACCTCCCAACACCTTCCCATCTCCCCCACTCCTCCTGCCCTTTCCCCTCACTGTCTCCTCTTGGCCCCTGGCATTTGTCTCTCCTCCACCCTTCCCCTTGGTGCATTCCCCTTTCTTCTCCTGCCCTGGCTCCCTCCTCTGTGCTCAGCACAAGCCCCTTCCTCTGCTCATCCATCTTCCTCTTAGTTCTCCTCCTGGCCTCTTCCCTCACCTTTTACCGTCCTGACACCTGCACCTGCTGAGTGTCAGGACTGGAGCCAGGGCCATGATGCTATTTTTAGTACCTCAATCCCAGCTCCAGCAGCCACCACACATCCGTGGCCCTAGCTGCTCCCAGGGGTCGGGCTGCATGGTGGGTGGCTGCCCCATATGCCGGGGGCTCTTTTTAGTACCATGGCCCAGGCTCCAGCTCC